AAAGGCCAATAAACCTACAAATACCCCATTAGTCTGTGGACTATAAAGAAAGAGGAAGAATTTACAAGCCTACAAAACACACAAGACAGGGCTGTGAAATTCTAATAGAACAACTTTGATTTTATTAGTTTATTAAAAGTCATGTCTTCATGAATCAGAACATTCCCTTGCATCGTGAAGAATTTATTAAATCAAGGTGCTTGGGTAAATAATTTGGAAGATCTGCGTGTTAGAAACAAATAGGCAATTAGCTATTTAAAAAAAATATTGGTGGTTGGCATCCTATAGACCCACAAAAATCAACCGCATTACTTTATTAGCTGATGCATTATCTAAGTAGAAGTATTTTCTTAAGTATTTATTTTGCACCAAAGTATAATTCAGAGGACTTCAAGGAAGACCAAGCTTAAGAAGTCAAGGGGATTCCACCATTTTGTTGTATTCTTTGACAGAATTCTTTTTATTGAGTAGTGGGAGAATATTCATAGCCAACATTTGTGGAGCAACTGTTATGTACCAAGTGTTTTTTTAAAGTCTTTTATAAGTTTTAACTCATTAGTGGTGACAACAACACCGCTAGGTAGATACCGTTATCTCCATTATGAGGCTAAGGAAACTGAGGCACAGTGAGGTTAAGTTAACCTGCCCAACGTCACCCGGCTGGTAGGAGGCAAAGCTGGTTTGAACCTAAGCAGAGCAGCTCCAGGAAGTAAGCACTGACCACACTATCCTGATGGAAAACCCTAGGAGTGTCTCCTCCATTTTTATGAAGATGTCTATAGCTTTTAGAACGTGTTTAACATACCTGCTTGTTCGGTTTTTCCCATATCCAGATTTGAACATTTACATTATTGACCACGTCTTTGATCTCTACCCTGTAATGCAATTCCTCATTCTGAATTAAACGCAAATGCTATTTTCTGCAGCTGCCAAAGTGGACAGATTGAGTGTTGATTTGTGGGAGAGGCTGTGGTGTACCTTTGGAAATAATTCGGAGATGTGGGTTCTTTACGTGATGTTTTCTTGCGTGTATTTGAGCATTTCAAAAGAACAGTGTCAATGCAGAGCTGTAGGGTTTTCTAGGCTTGCAATAGGTATAAATGAAATGAATCCTGCTCTCATAGAAAGTCATAACTAAATGTAAAAAATATCAGGTGTTTCAGAGAAACACAAGTCTGTTCCTCCTGTTGATGCTGGTATCTTGAATTTCTAATCTAATTCTGACCGAAGATACAATTCAATTCCCCAAACCTGGAGTTGCGGGGCAGGTCTGAAGTTCTGCTGTAAAATTGTCACTTGTCTTGGATGAACACACACACTTTTATGTTTTGATTAGTGAAGAATTTTTCAGGCAAAATGTGTTAACTTCAAGTTAGATAATTTAAAATAGTGCCAACCTAGTGTGATTCCACCTAATTTCAACCAAACAGTAAGGATGTGTTGCACACAAAAAATGTGTGAGTGTCTTAACTAATAAATATAATTTAATCCGTAATCAGTGAATAGAGGGGAATATCTGAGCTTTTCTAGGCATCTCTCTAGGAGTAGTCCAGGTCTCACCCATCATGGGAGAAGTTGACCCAGAACTTGCAGCAGTTGTGAACAAGAATGAAAATAAGTTGCTCTATTTCACCCTTCTATTGTTATTACTTATAGTAATATGCGAGTATACATGTTATGTAAGTTAAAAAGAAAAATAACTATTTAGTTCGTACTCACTATCTTACACATCGTTTTCCGATCATTAAAACATCTTGGCCATATATATACATAACTTATGTTTTTATTTTAAAAAAAGGAAGGTTGAAGCTCAGAGACGCTAAATAACTTATACAAAGACATTTAAGAAAGAGCCAATGCTTTTTCTACTCCACCACCTCACATCCCAACTTTTCAAGCCTGTTCACAATCCACCCCACTCCCCCAGAACACTCTCTCCCAGGAAATGGAGAGTGTCTTGAGAGTAGGGACCTGTATATTCCATTTCCAGAGACCTAACAGCCTTCAGGAGGGTTCCTGACACATTAAGTCCACAAACCCTTATCTGTAGCCCTTAAGGCAGAACCTTTATACCACCTACCGTACTATGTAACAACTTCACTGGGCTCTGAGGCTGTCCTCCTTAACGGGATATATTAACATTTTTGCAGCATACTGTATAAATACTGCCACCTTATTAATCTTGTGTTTTTCTAAAACAATTAACATGTGAATTTCTGTTTCTCTCTCTCTCTGTCCTTCTCCCTCTCCCTCCCTTTCTTTCTTTTTTGAATACATACTCAGGAGTCCTGCTCTAGCAGAGACTGTGGGCAAGCTTCTGAGAGGCTTTCAAAGAAATGGATTTAGGAAGGAGAAAGTGCTCATAGACCTTCGACAATGGTGTTCCCTAGTGTGATTTTTTCGGTTCTCATTCTGAATCTCTATTCTGCCTTCATATGTCAGATTTTCAAGTGAATCTCTTTATGGAAAAAAATAAAATGAAATACATGGGTTTATAAAAATGATGCCTATCTGTACTTCTCAGGTCATTATTCCTTTCTCTTTTTTTCCATACTCACTTATGCATTTCTCTCACTGAAGAATTCTTTAAGGAAGAGACTAGGTTTGCTCACTCATGTGTATATCAAAGTGGCTTGGACATAGTCGGCACCCGATAAGTACTTATTGAATTAAATAAGTGAATGGAATAAGAACTAGCAAAATATGAGATGAGTTACAAAACTAGATATAGAGATAATATTTTATTTTGCTATAGAATGCTTAAGAAGTGAGTACGATGGGTACTGTCATTCACGTTGTAACTATAAACTGCTGACTGCTGATGGCTATGTAAGAAAACACCTCCTACCCAGTGAAAACTGTCCTCGAAGGCTGAGCTTTCTGAGGCGAAGAGGACAGACTGACATTCTCTGTAAAACTGAGTGCAGAGGTTAGTTGTTGAAATAACATGTGGAAAAATATTTTCCAAAATGTTTTTACAGACTGAATGTTTACTATTACTGGTTGAGTATTTGCTTGCATATTTATGAACAAAGACCAAGAGAAAAAGTACACAAGTACTTTAAGTTACTGGCAAATATATTGAACATTTTGTATACAAATGATACAATATGTAGTTTCCAATACTGACTTCTGAGGAAAGGTTGTCCAAGGACAGCGTATTTGCTAGAGGAAAGGAAAAGAAACTTGGCTTTCCTATTTATTATGAAATCTAAGGCTAGATTGTTCTGAGGAGTTCCCACCTCCAACCTACCTCCATGATTTGCAATACTTTTCTTCTCTAATGTCTTTCAAAAAGGAGAGAGAATTGGTAAAAATCATTCAAATTATATGATAATATTGATTATTTTTTTTTTTTGCTCGGTATTGTCATTTTGTTTCTTCTATAATGAGGAAGCAAAGGTAACATAAATATCACAGCTTAAAATAAGTTGGTCTTTTCTGGAAGTTTTAAATGTAGTTCAAGAAATTTGAATAAAGATAAGGGAGTTTTCTATACTGTTTTAACCAGCAGTTCTGGACTGCTGTGTTTTTTAAAATTACTCTGCATTCATACGTTTTGCAATCATTTGCACGGTTTCTTGTGGAAAAAGAAATTGAGAAGTAGTTCAACTTTGTCTTCATTATCTTCCTGCCTCCTTTCCTCTTCCAGCACCTCCATGTGGAGTCTTTCCCTTTTTTGTCGTTGATGCCCACATTTCTGAGTGTTCAGGAAATCAATTTGTCTTAAGAAAAGAAAATTATTTGACCTGTGGTCAAAAACCCCAGTGGGCTGAGCATACTTCACTCCCGACTTTCCTCTTCCATTACAATGTGCTGTTCCCGCGTCTCACTCAGTATATTTAATCAATTTTTCCAGCACCTACTCTATTCCTATCACTGCATTCATCCGAAGATTTACATATGCAACACTTTTAAGACATGACCCCCATCTTGCTCGACTTCGAATTAATTGCAGTGGCAGGACATGTAATTAGAAAGAAGGTAAATGACACAAATTATTACAGATTAATGATATGATATGAAATGGGATAGTCCAGGGAACCTGAATTAGAGTTGTAGATCTGTAACATCTTAGTTTATTTATTATAAAAATTACACAAATTTTGTATTGTAGTTGAGATCTTGGCTTGGGAATCAGACTCCACCCAAACCCTGTCTCTATCCTTTATATGAACTTGGGCAAATTGCATAATTTCTCTAAGCATCACTTTCCCCTTTTGCAAAAAGAGTTGGTGTGAGGAGTAAATAAGCATTAAGCATGTTGCCTGACACAATATTTTCTGTTTTTAAAAATATGACCTTTGTAAAATTATAAAAAACTCTCAGTTTCTACATACATCAAATAGGAGTAACAGTAACACTAAATCCATATGGATGTTGTGAATATCAAAAAGGATAGGAAGAACACTGAAGTTTATCGAGAACATTCTATGTGCAAAGATATAGATCATGACTCAATAAAAAGTTAGAAAATGAGAATCAAGTAGAACTAGATAAAACATTGGAAATTAAAAAGCCATCAAGAGAGGGATGAGAACGAGCTATTGACTATTTTCACAATTTTACGGAAACAGAAACTGATGCTTACAAAGGATCAATAACTTGCTCAAGTTCACTCACCAGTAAGTAGATTCAATCTGGAAGTTGTCTATCTCTTAACCATTTCACAATATTGAGAAACTGAGGCGTGGCAGCCTTAAGGAAGTTGCAGAGAAAGGGCCTAAGCTTCTGTCTCCATCGCTTCTATGTCCATTATCATCCCACTTAGCATATGACCTCTCAAAGGAACTTGAGTTGGGGAACGTCGCCCCCACTGCAGTGATGGGGATCCTAGGACTGTGTAGTTTAATGAACTGGCCATGGTCTCACGGAGAGTGAGGTGGAACCAGGGTGTGAACCAGAGTCTGCCTGCTCCTGAGGTCCGTGCTCATCCCACTGCATGACCCTCATCTATTTTGTGACGAATCCCTCACAAGTCAGACAGAATGGAGACTTACTCTTCTTGGCTTCCTCTAGCTTGTCCTTTGCCCTTTTTTCTGCCTGAAGGAGCTGTTGGATCCCCTGAGACTGGCTGGTCATGGCAGCCTGCTTCAAGTCGGGTAGCTTCTGTGAAATCTGCGATGCCACAGTCCATTTATCCTTACAGAAATCACCACATAACTCAGACTGTTGTGTCAACAGTGAGTTCTAAACACAGCTGTTCCAAAATGGCCTGATTGGGCCAGATAGCTGGGCCCAAGGAGATCCCAAGGGTGGAATCCAGAAAAACAAGTTCAGTCATTGTGAGGAAGCTGAGAACTTATCATTTCTGCCAACTTCAGCTCTTCTATATGACATTAGGTGACTTGAATGGGCTGTTGAGTCTACTTGTAATAAATGAGTAAGATCTCCTTCACAAGATTAGCTTCCCTCTTCTTCCAAGAAATATTAACTTGATTATTAACTGAATTTTTCTTTCCATTTACAACATCTTTCTCTGTTCTTTGTCCAGGCCATTCCAGTTTTAGGTCTTTTTTTCTCTTTGTTTCCAGTGATTCAATTATCTGCTTGGAGCAAATTTATTAACCATTTGCTAGGAAGGAGATTTCCTTTCTTTAAGCACAGAAGACAGGCTAGGAATCCATTCTTTTCTTTTCCTAGGCCTCAGGTGACAGGAAGGAAAAGATTTCTTTGGGCATTGTGTTGATCTCTAGTGATGCTGCGATGCCACAGTCCCAGGGAGAGCTTAGTGCGGTGACTAACGCAGCATTAAGGGAAATTGTAACTGCAGCGTTTGAGGTTAAATTAAAATCACCTGAACACGCATTTTTTCTATTACTCTGTCCTTGTACCGGGTGTCGTCCTGAGACAGTACAGTAAAATCCGTCTTCCTTGATTTGCTTTGATCCCATAGTGATCGGACAAATGAGAATGTTGGTCACAGTGGAAAATCATAAAATATCATTTATATGTATTGAATTTTTTATTTGAAGTAAAAAACTTATCTTTTGACTTATGGCCAAGGCTTTTTTCCCTAAAATGACCTGAAGGTTGGAGTTTCACATATCATTGCTTTCATAAACTGCACCTCTAACTGCCTCATCTATAAATAGCAGGTTTGATTTTTTTGGAGAGGTGCACAGATTTCAAGATAATTGTGAAACAATCTGAGAGCTAAATCTTTTAAGGTTTTCATGATAATTTCTCCCTAATAGTTTAGAGTGTCTCATGGTTCATACCTATATCACGACATTATACACACATCACATTTAGCAAATCTTTCCAGAAGGAACAGCTCTTTTTCATAGGTACACCTTTCTTTCTTTTTGCCTTCATATTTAATCAGTTTATAAAATTTGTTTTTTATTGCATAATTACAATAATTAGTACGACTGGCATAAACAGATATATGAACAAACATGGCTCTTGGGAAACACGCTTCAACCCTAAGAGCAGAATTGTGAAGGTGACCTGAAAGGAGTCCATTAGCCTCAAGTTCAGCCTGTCTCAGTATCAGTTAGAACTTCCTTACTAACTGAAACAATGCAGAACATTAGCGATTTCTCTGAATGGTTAAGTGGGGATTGTTATAAGAAATTTGCTGTAATCTTGTACCAACAGTATTTATTGAATATCTCCCATATGCAGTCCCCTGAATGAGGCCCAGTCGTGAATCACACAAGAAGGATAATTCAGGTGGATCGAGACTGTTGGAGAGGCATTAGGTAGGAAGGACTTGGTGAGAAAGACGATTCTTCCTACTGGAACAGAAAGACACAATGTCTCTTAAAAGCTTGAAGAGACAGATATGACTTTGTCTTGATCTGGACAAGGTACTTAATTAGATTTCCACTAGCAAAGGTGTGACTAGTCCACAATAAACATCTTCCTGCCCTAATTCTAATCCTTTCCTGTGTGCTTCACTGTTTTCATTCAAATCAGTTTGCATAAGTAATAGAATATGGATGTGCATGTATTTACATCATCTTAGAGGACGTTATACTTTGAGACATTTATTTAGAACAGAAAATATATATTATGTGAAATATAAACATCCTTCCTGCCACTGCCACAAGGTCATGTACATCAGTGATTCACATTGCGACTAATTGTACTATAAGCAAATTCGAACCCTCAGAACTCAGCAATGCCGTGATTAAATTTTGGTCTGACGAAGTTCTCAATCTCCTACTGGAATCCTGTATGTAAACTCTGATGGTAGTTATGACGCCTTTTGAATAACGAAGAGGTTCAACTGGAACAGAAGAATCACCCATTCGGAGTTGCCACTAATACAATAATATTGTGAGGCCCTTTGTAAATACCTGTAACTAGTAACATATCAGTGGCAGAAAATTTTAATCATAGTTCCTTTAAGATCACACACAAAATTTTTCATTTTATGACAAAATTTATCCTTCTCTTTGTTTATTTAGTTCAAGAGTCTTTTCCTGGCACAAAAATATAGACAGGACATTCCATGATTCCACTTGACAAAAAGATGCAAAGTAGAATATTTGGGAAAAATCTCTACTTACACAGGGCGAAAGGCCTGGGGCATAACTCAAAGTAGGGAGTTAGAGTGGCTCTGTCTTCTCCTGACCCTCCAAGGATTACCCTCCTCGTGAGAAGGAGGGATAGAAAAATCCACCCACAGGCAGAGAAAGATGACAAGGAAGCTTCTCATCTCAGCCTGGGATCTGGATGATAAAAAATGTAACTACAAGTCTACACTTCTGTGGGTTTCAAATTATACTACCAAGGTCGTCAGTAGAGATAACCACGCTGAACAGGACCTTAGGACCCAAACTGCAAACGAATGAGAAGGTAAAGCAGAGGAAAGATGGGCAGTGTAGCGGTGGGTAGAGCCAGAAGCCTTTGAACTTTCTATGTATGCAGCGGACCATTTTAATACTAATGGGTTACTTACTATAACTGACTTATTCCTTTTTTTTAATCAAAGCTAATTCCTGATGTGACTTTTTGTTCATAAAAGTTACCCTTTTAAGGATAATCATACTTTCAAAAATCTTATCTGTTGGGGGGCCAGCCCCGTGGCGCAGCGGTTAAGTTCACACCTTCCGCTTCTCAGTAGCCCGGGGTTCGCTGGTTCGGATCCCGGGTGCGGACATGGCACCGCTTGGCAAGCCATGCTGTGGTAGGCGTCCCACATATAAAGTAGAGGAAGATGGGCACAGATGTTAGCTCAGGGCCAGTCTTCCTCAGCAAAAAGAGGAGGACCGGCAGTAGTTAGCTCAGGGCTAATCTTCCTCAAAAAAAGAAAAGAAAAAGAAATTTTATCTGTTAATAACCTAGATTTTGAGTTTGTTCTTTAAATATTTGGTATTGTTGAGGCACCAACGAACAAGCATTTCTTTTACTGTTTGCTAACAAAATACCAACTGTGTTCCCAAACTGGGTCTAATACTTTACTATTAAAATACACATTTCCATCTGTTAACTTGTCTGATTCTCCCAGGAGCCCTGGGCATGGGCATTATTAGCACGCATCACATTGGTTTTATCAATAGGACTCCTATAAAATAAGAGGGCTAGTGGTCAGGAAACTCTGGCTCAGGAAACCCGAGTGACAGGCTCAAGGTCAAGTGGCTCCTAAGGGAGAGGACGGAACCATCTCAAGGTCAGTCATCTTTCCACTGCACAATGCACTCTCTCGCCCTGGGAACAGATTCTCTCCATATTTCTTTGTTCTTGATGAAAAAGATGAGAAGAAAACAAGGAATATCAATTGGCATTTCCCTCTGTGTAAAACACTATTAAGTTTTGGATCAGTGAAAATGTGAGGTGCTCAAACAATCGATAACAAAAATATGAAAAGAAAGTGAGATTTGGCTTAACGTAGGTATCCTTGACTATGGAAGATTCCTCCTCAGGAATGCTCATTTTAAGCAACTAGAATTCTTCTCATTCTTTTTCTTTTTTAATGCTTTTTGGTGAGGAAGATTGGCCCTGAGCTAACATCTGTTGCCAATCTTCCTCTTTTTTTTTTTCTTCCCAAAGCCCCAGAACATAGCTGTATATCCTAGTTAAAGGTCATTCTAGTTCTTCTATGTGGGATGCCACCACAGCATGGCTTGACGAGTGGTGCGTAGGTCTGCACCCAGGATCCAAACTGGTGAACCTCAGGCAGCCGAAGCACAGTGCGTGAACTTAACCACTCAGCCATGGGGCCAGCCCCAAGTTCTTCCCATTCTATTTATTTGGGAACTTTTGGTCCAGTCTTATTGTTTATAATATTCTATTTTATCTTTCTCTTTTATAACTAGAAATTAAACCAAATAGAATTTTATTGAATTTGAGTGTTAGAGATCATTTTTAGTTTCTATGTTAATGGAATCTTAACATTGATGATTTCTACATGTTGCCATATGAGACACAATTTACTGATACTATTATTTATATTCTTTATTATGGCATATGATGTTATTTTGTTATTATTTTCAAAGATAAATTGAGTGTTTAGTTATACATTTCTATAAAAATTCCAAGGGGTGGGAGGGACTTGGTTTTTCAGATGAGTTAGAGCTATAGATGTATTACTTATAGTAACTGTAAAAAGGAAGTGTAAATCAGATGGTGTATATTTGGGTCCATACTCTTTGATTCTTTTTTTAAAATACTTTCATATTTCATTTCATTAGTGCAAAATGCAGAAGAAAAGTTGCTAAAAATAACAAAATCTTAAAAATGAAATCTGTGCCCTTGGAAAAGTTTCATTTGTTAAACATTAAAGGATTACAGCCAACTGCCTCTTGTTTTTGCTTGTACTTAACTTGAAAAAATTTGACATTGACTGTTTTGAAGGGCTATAATTATATATTTAGCAAGTGTTCACTATATATTTTTTTGGCTTCTTTTGTTTGAAGTTTCATTTCTACTCAGACTTCCTCTTATAATCCATTCCATCATCACTGCCGCATATTTCAAAAAATCATGTGATCCTTCCTCCTTTTGCCCATGTTGGTTTAGCTCTTGAATCCGAATAATAGCGAAAAATAGATTAATTCCTGGTTTCCTGAAGGCCTGGAGCTTCTAGGTATTTCAAAACCATAAACTTCAATCTTTAAGCATAACTGTAAGCCTTGATCTGGGTGATTCTACAGGCACAGTATCATTGATCACTTCACTTCTTCACTGTAGCTGAGCAGTAA